TTCTTGAAAAGATAAACAAAATTTATAAAGCTATAACCAGACTCATCAAGAAACAGGGCCCAAATGAAAAATGTCAGAAATGGAAGAGAAGTCAAAATAGACACGACAAAATACAAAGGATCAAAGAGAATGTTATAAACAATTATATGCCAATGAATCCAACAACCTATGAGAAAAGCATACATTCCTAGAACATACAGTCTTCCAAGGCTGAATCTGGAAGAAACAGAAAATCTGAAAAGACCAGGTACTTATCACAAAATTAAACCAGTAATTTAAAAACTCCAAACAAAGAAAAGTCTAGGACCAGATGGCTTCACGGATCAAGTCCACCAAATATTCAAATAAGAATTAATACTTACACCGCTCAAAAATTGAAGAGTAGAAAAAGCTTCCAAATTCATTCTATGAGGCCAGAATTATCTAATACCAAAACCAGACAAAAAAGAAAAAAGACAAAAGAAAACTACAAGCCAAATCACTGATGAACATAGATGCAAAAATCCCCAACAAAATATTAGCAAACCAAATTCAACAATATTTTAAAGGAGTTACATACCATAATCAAGTGGAACTTATTCCATGGAAGTAATGATGGTTAAATAAACACAAATCAATCAACATGATACACCATAGAAACAAAATAAAGAATAAAAATCATATAATGATCTCAATAATGCAACAAAAGCATTTGACAATGTTCAACGCCTATTTATGATTTTATAATCCTTAGGAAATTGGCTATCGAAGGAACATACTGAACATAATAAAGGCCAGATATAACAAACCCACAGGTAACACAGTCAATAATGAAAAGCTGAAAGATTGGCCTATAACATCAGAAACCAGACAAAGATGTCCACTATCACAGCTTTTATTCAACATAGCAGTGGAGGTCCTAGCCACAGCAACCAGATGGAAGGGGAAGGGGAAGGGAACGGAGGGGAGGAAAGTCATCCAAATTGGGAGGAAGAAGTACAACTATCACTATTGACAGTTGGCATGACACTATGTATAGAACACACGAAAAAAATTCAATTAAAAAACTATTAGAACAAATAAATGAATTCAGTAAAATTACATGATACAAAATTAATATTCAGAAATCTATTATGTCTCTGTACACTAACAGCAATCTATCAGAGACATTAACAATTCCATTTATAACTGCATCAAAAAGAATAAAATAACTAAGAATAAATTTATCCAAGGATATAAAAGACTGTTACTCTGAAAATGATAACACGCTAATGAAAGAAATAAAAGAAGACACAAATAAATGAAAAGAAACCCAAAGTGAGCCACAGATTCGATGCAGTCTCCATCAAAAGACCAACAGCATTTTTCACAGCAATAGAACCACTAATCCTAAAACATGCATGGCAGCACAAAAGATTCGAAAGTCACAGTCATCTTAAGAAAGAAATACAAAGTCGGAGGCATTATGTGCCCTGATTTCAAACTATCCTACAAAGCTGCTGTCATCAAACACTATGTTTTGGAACAAAAACAGGCACATAGACCTATGGAACAGTACAGAGAGCCCAGAAATAAACCCTCACAGAAATGGTTGATTAATCTATGACAAAGGTGGCAAGAATATACAATAGGATAAAGACAGTCTCTTTAATAAATGGTGTTGGGTAAACCAGACAGGCACGTGCAATAGAATGAAACTAGACCACCTTCTTATACCACGTACTAAAATAAACTCAAAATGGAGGAACGACTTTGTATGTAAGATCGGCAATCATAAACTCCTATAACAAAAGGCAAATGGTAAATTCATTGACATTGAACCTTGCAAGAGTTTTTAAAAATATGATCTTAGAACAAAGGCAATAAAGCAAAAATAAACAGGTGGGACTACATCAGACTGAAAAGCTTTCACTCCGCAAACATAACTATCAACAAAATGAAGAGGCAAGCCTCCGAATAGGAGAAAATATTTGGAAATTATACATCTGATAAGGGGTTAATATCCAAAATATATAAGGAACTCACATGACTCAACATCAAAAAAAAAAAACCAAAAAACACCCCCAAACCATCCATAAAAATGAAGAGAGAGTGATTGCAGAAGGATGGTAGCATAATAGGTGCCCTTGGTCTCTGCCCTCGAATTTACAACAATCTGAACAGCGGTACTTTAGCAAAGGATTCCCTGCTCAGCCCACACACCTGTCTGAGAGATGTGCACATTGAAACATCCAAAGGTGGCAACTGGGAGCAAACCAGGGAGGAGGGAAGGGAGAAGAGCTGAGACAGTGCCAGGGACACAGCCTGGAGCTCACTGCAGGGCTCAGCCCACAGAGGTGGGATCAGATTGCAGGCGGCTCTCCCTTCAGCCAGGAGGAGCAGGGAGAGACATTGAGCATCCCTGCAGGAGTGGGTGATAGGTGCTGCAGCTGACACAGTGACCTCAGCTGGGAGGCTTGGATGAAGCAGAGGTGAGGCCAGGTGCTGTGGCAATCACCATGGCCAGGGAGAAAAACAAAGCTACAGAGCCTGGCCTCCTCCCCCACCCTCCAGGAGCTAGCAGCAGGCCCCAGGGAAGCTGTAGCAGTGAGTGTCTGGTTGCAAAGCGCAGGGTTGCTCTGCAAGCCTGAAAAATGGAGCCACAGAAAGCTGCAAAGCTAAAAACATTCCCCCCTGAGCATGCTACAGCTAATCCAAGGGGCAAGTGGAGGTACAGAGGTGAAGCTGCTGAGGTCTGCATGTCACCATTCCTAGGAGAACAAAGCCACGAAGGCACCAGCCAGCCTCTTCCAAATCACCTCACCAACACCCATGGCAGCTACACTGCAGGCAGCATCTGGCTGTAGGGCACAACGCTGGGATTTCATGGACTTGGAACCCCACTGCCCATCACGTTACCCCGTGGGGTTGGTGCCCTGAGATGGAGGCGACCTGGTCGCAGAGGAGAAGCCCTACACCCCAGGGGACACAGGACATTTTCCATCTCCCACAGAGATCTGAAAAGTCAGTGTCCTGGAAGAAAAACCAAAAAACTTGTGCTTTACCCCCACCTACTGGAAAAGAAAAGAAATACTTCTTATCAGAGTCCTAGAGAAGTGCCACTCAGAAGGGCCTAGACAGAAGAAATCCATCAAATGCATGAAAAACCAGGTTAGTAAGGCAGCTCAGAAAGAAAATGAAAAATCTCTCAAAAATAAGCTTAAAGTCATGGAACTATGTGATTTAAATGACAGAAAATTCAAGGTTGCAGTTCTGAAAAAACTCAACAAGATACAAGAAAATACAGAGAGGCAGTTTAATGAGCTCAGAAAGAAAAATCAACAAACAAACAATAGGAGGACTTAACCAAAGAGAATGAAACTTTAATAAAACCAAAAAGAGATTATTCAGATAAAGAACTCAATAAAAGAGATTAATAAACTCGTAAGATTAGAAAATGGAGTTCACCAGATGGAGGAAAAAATTGGTAATATCAAAGAAATCTTCCTCAGCTCATCAATCAAACACCAATGTAGGGCTGCTGGGAAGGGATTTTGCAGATGTAATGAGGGTCTCAAATCAGTGGAATCTTAGACTTCCCTGGGTGGGACTGTCCTCAGCAGATGAGTGCTGCCTGGGTTCCCCCTGAGCAAAGAGGTGCCACGTGTGAGAATTCAGCCTGAGCCTTTTTCTTCACTGGGGGCTTTGGAACCGCAGCACCACGTTGTAAAGACCGCAGTGGCCACCAGGTGTTGCAAGCAGCCCTCCCCAGGCCCCTCCTCGCTAACAGCTGTTAAGAAAATAGGGGCCGCAGACTCACAACTGGAAAAAAAGGAAATGAATTCTGCTGACAATCTCTATATGAGCTTAGAGAAGGATCCCGATCCCGAGCTCAGGATGAGGACACAGTTTTGTGACACCCTGACCAGGGAACCCAGCCACCCCACACCCGGATTTCTCGCTAAGGAACTATGGGCAAATAAGTGAAGGTTGTTTTGAGCCACTAAGTTGTGGTGATTTTTATACAGTCACAGAAAACTAGTACACAGGCTCAGCTGTGCCACAGAATAGCACCCGGCATTTTTCCCACTGGAACGTACTTACGAACTGACGTGTCCAGTAGTTACATGCAATAAAATCTTCCCTAAGGTTTTTATATTTTTTTATTTTATGAATTTATGTAATACAGTTAAATTTTTAATTTTGTGTAGTGAGGCTGTGCGCAACTCACACAAACTCAAGGCTTTGGGATGAAGATCATTTTACAATGTAGCAATCCCAAGTCACACATACACTGCCTGGGAAACAGAATTTAGGAGCTTTGTCACTCTGACTCCAGTGCTGTTTACATACTTTTGTATATGAGGCATCTGAACTCATGTGCCTCATACACATGACATTTTACATACAGATTAGCCTTTTGACGCTCAGGGTTTCCAAGATGTGTTCCCCACTGTAGCTCACTGGCCTGTGACAATATCTATCCTGTTTTCAGGCACAACTCCTCCCCCGCTGAAGAGGAAAACCCGGCCCCTCCACCTCCATTCCCAGGGGGAGCTCACTATCTGGCATCAAGTTCCCTGAGGTGAGTTTTCTTCTAGAAAAGTCCAGGAGTAGAGATAAGAGGTGGGAGGCAACGAGTCCATTTTAGGAGGAGGGATTCCAGGAAGAGAAGAGGAGAGAAAAGGGCCGGTCCCAGCAAGGGGTTTCGCTCCCTGCTTTCCCCGGAGACCCTGGGGCAGGAGAGAGAGCTCTCGGGGCAGGAGAAGCGGTCAGGGCAAAGGCCCAGGTTCCCAGGCCTGGTTCTCAGGTCTCTGGGACGCAGGGTTTCATGGCACCAGGCGGAGGACGGAGTCTGAAGCGGGAACACTCCCCAGTCCTAACTGGGTTTCACTTCTCTCTCGCAGCTGGTGTTGGGTTCTCCGTCCTGGATACTCATGACGTTACTCCAGTTCTCATTCCCATTGGTGCGCAAGGAGCCAGTCAGCGACACCGCTCTGTTTTGGCGGGGTGCGCAATAGTGCAGACCGGGAAGTCGAGTAATGCGGCCCGCTTCCCTCCTCCTGCTGCTCCTGGGGGCCCTGGCCCTGAGCGAGACCCGGGCGGGTGAGTGCAGGGTCGGGGGAAACAGCTCCTGCTGGGGAAGTGCGAGGGGAGCGCCCAGCGCGGGAGCCCGACCCCGGGGAAGGCGCGTCTCCCCCACCCCGGCCCACACCCCCAGACCCCCCATTCTCGCCCCCAGGCCTCCACTCGCTGAGATATTTCGACACCGCCGTGTCCGGGTCCAGCCGCGGGGAACACCGGTACATCCACGCCGGCTACGTGGACGACACGCAGTTCGTGCGATTTGACAGCCACGACAAGAGCCCGAGGCCGGAGCAGCGGTGGGTGCAGCGGCCGTGGCTGGCGGACGAGCCACAGCATTTGGACCGTTACATGCGCAACGCGAGGGACAACGCGCAGAATTTCCGAATGAGCCTCATCAACCTGCGCGGCTACTACAACCAGAGCGAGGAAGGTGAGCCACGTGGTCCGGGTCAGTCACGACCCGTGTCCCCACGGACCGGCGGCTGTCGCCCCCAGGGGCCGGTCCGAGCTTCACCCCGGAGCTGCGGGACGGCCCCTCCCTCGCGTCTCGAATTGAGCCCCCGGGCACTGGGACCAGGTTTCATTTTGTTTCCGCTTAACCTTTAGCTTATTCAGGTACCGGGGTGGAGGGGTGCTGGGGCAGGCGGGGCGGGGTGGGCTGGGGCCCGGGCTGACTTGGGGGGCCTCCCCGGAGCGGGGTCAGGGTCTCACACCATCCAGGTGCTGTACGGCTGCGACGTGGGACCCGACGGGCGGTTCCTCCGCGGATACTCTCAGTTCGCCTACGACGGCGCCGACTACCTCTCCCTGAGCGAAGACCTGCGCTCCTGGACCGCGGCCGACAGCGCGGCGCAGATCACCTGGCGCAAGTGGGAGGAGGCCGGCGAGGCGGAGCACTACAGGACCTTCCTGGCCTGGGAGTGCGTGCAGTGGCTCCGCAGCAACCTGCAGGCGGTGCCGCGCTCAGGTACCAGGGTCTGTGGGACCTCCCTCCTCTCCGGCAGGGCCGAGGCTTGGGCTCCTACAAGGACACAGAAAGTGGGTGTCAGAGTACCCCTCCCAAATTAAAACCACTTGGGCTTGCCGATCCAGTACTGGAGCGGGACAGTTCTCTCTCCGCGACAATTCGGGCTGCAGTCTCATGCGGGATGAAAGGGTAGACCGGCCCTGAAATAACGCACCGGGTTCCCATTTCCCTGACAGTGGCCGTAGGACCCATGGGGGACATTCGCTTTCAGACCTTGTTCGTCGCTCCTCACCCACAGTGCCTGACACCTGACCCCAGCTTTTCTGAGTCATTTGGCCTCCATCCCTGTTCTCTCCCTCTGAGACCTGCCTCCTACCCTGGGCTTCATCACCCTCATTGTAGAACCTTCTAAAGACTGGGAGCTCATGACAGGTGCCTATGTCCAGGCTGGTGCGTGGGTTGGGGGCTCCCTTCGCAGACGCCAGGTGCGCTGTCCATTCTCAGGTTGGTGACGTGAGTGCTGCTGGAGTGTCCCATGAGGGATGCCAAGTTCCCGAATTTTCTCACCCTTCTCAGCCCCTCCGGAGACACACGTGACCCATCACCCCATCTCTGAGCGTGAGGTCACCCTGCGGTGCTGGGCCCGGGGCTTCTACCCTGCGGAGATCGCCCTGACCTGGCAGCGTGAGGGGGTGGAGATGACCCAGGATATGGAGCTGGTGGAGACCAGGCCTGGCGGGGACGGGACCTTCCAGAAGTGGGCAGCCGTGGTGGTGCCTTCTGGAGAGGAGCAGAGATACACGTGCCGTGTGCAGCACGAGGGGCTGCCCGCGCCGCTGACCGTGAGATGGGGTGAGCGGCGGCCGTGGGCACGGAGCCTCTCTCAGGGAAGCGGGGCCTCTGGGGGACTTCGGCAGGGTCGGGGCTGAGGCCTGGGGGCCGGGACCTCACCTCCCCTTCCCTTCCCAGTGCCACCTTCTCAGCCCAAAGCTGGCCTGGTGCTCCTTGGAGCAGCGGTGGCTGGAGCTGTGGTCGCTGGAGCTGCGGTCGCGGGAGGTGTGATGCAGTGGATGCTCTCAGGTAGGAAGAGGTGGGGTCTGAGCTTCTGGTGCCGCTCGGGGGGTTTCAAGCCCAGGTGGAAGTGTGTCCTGCTTAATATTTGCTTAAGTTTAGTATTTATGTTTTCTTCTATGTAGTTTATTGTTTCAGATCTTACATTTAGGTCTGTGATCCACTTTGAATTAATTTTTGTACATGGAGACAAATTGCAATCTAGGTTCATTATTTTGCATGTGGCTTTCCAATTTTCTCAGAACCACCTATTGAAAAGGTTTTCTTTTCTCCACTGTGTGTTTCTGGCTCCTTTGTCAAAAGTTATCTGCCCATATCCATGTGGTTTTCCATCTGGGGTCTTAATACTGTTTCATTAATCTGTTTTTCTGCCAATACCATGGCGTTTTGATTATCGTAGCTCTGTAGTATAATTTGAAGTCAGATTGTGTACCTCCACTTTTGTTCTTTTTTCTCAGAATTGCTTTGGCTATTACAGATCTTTCATGATTATATCTAAATCTGATATTTTTTGTTCAATTTCTTTAGAAAATGACAGCAGAATTTTGATGGGAATTGCATTAAATCTGTATAATGCTTTTAGTAATGCGGCCCTTTTTAACTATGTTGATTCTTCCAATCTATGAACATGCAATATATTTCCAATTCCTTGTATCTTTTTCAATCTCTTTTAATAATGCTTTGTAGTTTTTTGTATATAGATCTTTAACATCCTTTGTTACGTTTATTCCTAGATATTGTATTTTTTTGGTTACAGTTTCAAAAGAAATTGTTTTTTTTTTTTCATTTCTTTTTTCAGAAGTTTTAGTATTAGTATACAGAAAAGCTGTGGATTTTTGTTCCTCGATTTTATTCTGCAATTTTACTGTATTGTTTGTTGTTCCTAATAGTTTTTTTGGTGGGGTTTTTAGGATTTTTTATGTACAGAATTGTGTCTGCAAAAAGTGACACTTTCCTTCTTGCTTCTCAATTTTATGCCGTTTATTTCTTTCTCTTGCCTTATTGCTCTAGCTAGGACTTCCAGAAGTATGTTGAATAAGAGTGGTAAGAGTGGACATCCTTGTCTTATTCCTGAGTTTAGAGGAAAAGCTTTCAGTTTTTTTGGCATTGAGTATGATTTTGGCTGAAGGTTTGTCACATATGGCCTTTATTATGTTCATGTACTTTCATTCTATACCCATTTTATTGAGTGATTTAATAATAAATGGATATTGTATTTTATCAAGTGTTTTCTTTGCATCTATTGATAAGATCTATGATTTTTATTCTTTCTTTTGTTAATGTGGTATATTACACTGATTTGCTTATGTTGAACCATTTTTGTGCCCCTGGAATAAACTTGACTTGATCATGATGTATTATTTTTTAATGTGTTGTTGTATTCAATTTGCTAGTAAGTATTTTGTTTAGCATTTTTGCATCTGTATTCATCACAGATACTATATTGGTCTGTAGTTGTGTGTGTGTGTATGTGTTATCCCTGTTAGGTTTTGGTATCAGGGTTACGTTGGCCTCATAAAATAAGTTAGGAAGTATTGCCTCTTCTTCATTTTTTTCTTGGAAGAATTTGAGAAGGATAGGTTTTAAATCTTTGGAAGTTTGGTAGAATTCACTGGTGAATCTATCTGGTACTGGACTGTTATTTTTTAGGAGGTTTTGATGGTTGTTTCCTCACTGTTGATTGGTCTATTTAGATTTTCCAATTTTTCATGGTTCAGTCTAGGAAGGTTATATATTTCTAGGAACTAATCCATTTCTTCTAGGTTATTGAATTTGTTGGCATGCTGTCTTTCCTAGTATTCTGATATGATCTTTTGTATCTTTGTGGTGTCAGTGGTAACTACACCTCTTTCATTCCTGATTTTGTTTATATGGGTCTTTTCTCTTCTTTCCTTAGCCTCACCAGGGGTTTGTCAATTTTATTAACCTTTTCAAAGAACCAGCTCTTTGTTTCATTAACTTCTGTATAGTCTTTTTGTTCTCTATGTCATTCAATTCTGCTCTGATTTTTATTATTTCCTTTCTTCTCTGACTTTGTGTTGCTTTTGTTCTTTTTTTAGATCTGTAAGATATAATGTTAGGTTGTTTACTTGGGATTTTTCTTGTTTCTTGAGATAGTATAACAGGAAAATTCGGGTCCTCCAAAATGGGGAAGTTCCTCCAATATCCTGGCTGGGAAAAGGGGAAGCAGAATAAGGCCATTGAAAGTTACTTTGCATATTTAACGAACTTGGCCAGTGTTTTGGTAACATTAAGCTCCTGGGCCTGCTGCACTCAAAGCCAGGGAGATGGGCATGGCTCTATCTAGAAGGCAGCCAGGAGGCAGTCCCCTGCCCCCCACTCTCCCTCCATGAGTGACTTGGAGGCTGCTCCTAAGTCATGGCGCCAAGCCTCCTGGACTAACAATGGCAGCTGAGAAAGGCAGAGGAATCTGGAGTGCTGGCAGGTGTAGCCCTTTGTGGGAGGTGTCGGAAATGGGGTTCTGGAAGAAGAGCCACACTGGGATTTAAACTCAGGTATGGGCCAGCCATGCTGTCTTGCCCATCCTGTTTGAAAGGATGCAGAATGGCCCCCACTGGCCCATCATGAATGTGTGGTTTTAGATTAAGAGCAGGAGCCTGGCCTAGCACGGGCAACTGGAAGAAGCCAGAATACAGACGGGAATCTGCCCAGCTAAGCTACAGACTTCTATTGAGGGGCCCACAGGGTCCTAGAATGTACACAGCCCACCCATTCAGGGAATCAGCACCAGGGAAGCAGTTGGAAAGGTGCCAGTCAGTTGCGGGAAGTGGGGAAAGAGACTGAAAATAGGGCGATAACTAAGCAAGTGGCTCTGACTCCTCCCCCACTTATAGCACCACTATTCGGTGAAGCAGGTTGCCCTGCCCTGGTGAATACTGAAGGCTCCACCCCTTGCAATATAACAGGTGTGCCAACAAATTGAGGAGACAAAGAAATATGGCTCAAATGAAATAACAGATCAAAACTCCAGAAGAAGAACTAAGCAACAAGGAGATAGCCAACCTGTCAGATGCAGAGTTCAAAACACTGGTAATCAAGATGCTCAGAGAAATGATTGAGTACTCCACAAAATAAAGAAAGAAGTGAAGTCTATACAAAATGAAATAAAGGAAAATAAAAAGGGAACCAACAGTGAAGGGAAGGAAGCCAGGACTCAAATCAATGATTTGGAAAAAAAGGAAGAAATAAATATTCAACTGGAACAAAAAGAAGAAATAAGAATTCAGGAAAATGAGGAGAGGCTTAGGAACCTCTGGAACAACTTTAAATATACCAACATACGAATCATGGGGTGCCAGAAGGAGAAGAGGTAGAGCAATAAATTGACAACTTATTTTTAAAAATAATGAAAGAAATCTTGCCCAATTTGGTTAAAGAAATAGACTTCCAAGAGACCCAGGAAGCTCAGAGAGTCCCAACCAAGCTGGACCCAAAGAGGGCCACACCAAGACACACCATAATTAAATCACCCAAGATTAAAGATGAGGAGAATCTTAAAAGCAGCAAGAAAAAAGAAGAGAGTTACCTACAAAGGAGTTCCCATAAGACTTATCTGCTGACTTCTCAAAGGAAACCTTGTAGGCAAGAAGGGGCTGATAAGAATTGTTCAGTCAGGAAAAGCAGGGACTTACATCCAAGATTACTCTATCCATCAAAGCTATGATTTAGAATGGAAGGGCAGAAAAAGTGCTTCCCAGAGAAGGTAAATTTGAAGGAGTTCATCGTCAGTAAGCCCTTACTATATGAAATGTTAAAAGGACTTACCTAAGAAAAAGAAGGAGATCAAAACTATGAACAGTAAAATGACAACAAACTTAACAACTATCAACAACTGAACCTAAAAAACAAACAAACAAAAACCTAAGCAAACAAGTAGAACAGGAACAGAAGCATATAAATGGAGATCATATGGAGGATTATCAGCAGGGAGGGGGAAGGGGGGGAATGGAGGAAAAGGTACAGGGAATAGGAAGCATAAATGGTAGGTATAGAATAGACAGGGGAAGGTTAAGAATAGTGTAGGAAATGGAGAAACCAAAGAACTTACATGCATGACCCATGGACATGAACAAAGTGGGGGGGATTGCTGGAGGGAATAGGGGTACTGGGTGGAGGGAGACAAATGGAAAAATGGGACAACTGTAGTAACATAATCAATAAAATATACTTAAAAATAATAAAATGGGAATAAATAGGTACCTATCAATAATCACTTTAATGTAAATTGAATGAATACTCCAATCAAAAGACATATGGTGGCTGAATGTGTAAGAAAACAAGAGCCATATATATGTTTTAAGTAAAGGGATGGAAAAAGATATTTAATGAATTACTAAAGTGAAAAGAAAGTTGGGATAGCAATGCTTATAGCATACAAAGTAGACTTTAAAACAAAGGCTATAACAAAAGACAAAGAAGGACCCAGCAATTCCACTTCTGAGTATTACCTGAAAAAATCCAAAACACTAATTCAAAAAGACATGCACCCATATGTTCACTGCAGCATTATTTACTATAGCCAAGATATGGAAGCAACATTAAGTGTTCATCAACAGATGAGTGGATTAGCAAGTGGTGCATATATACAAATGAATATGATGCAGCCATGAAAAGGAATGATGTATCGTGGCTGTTAAAGTGAATGTTTGTTACTATTATTCAATCTGCCAAAAATTGTCACCTAATTTAATAATACGATGAAAACCTAAAAAGAAAAAAAGAAAAAAAAAAGAAAAGGAATGATATCTTACCATCTGCCATAACATGATTGGACGTAGAGGGTACTGTGCTGAGAGAAATAAGTCGGACAAAGAAGGACATGCCATATGATTTCACTTATATGTAAAATCTAAAAAAAAAACAGAAACAAACTCATAGATACAGCAGATATTTTGTTGGGAGGGGGTTGGAGGATGGGTGAAAAAGGTGAAGGGATTAACAAATACAAATTGGTAGTTACAAAATAATCATGGGGATGATAGGGAATGTAGTTGATAATGCAGTAACTGTGTATGGTGTCAGAAGGATATTAGATTTAACAGGGCAATCACTTTGGAAGTTGTATAAATGTTTTATAACTATGTTGTACACTTGAAACTAATGTAGTATTATATGTCAACTGTAACAGAAAAATAAAAAAAAACTATTTAAATAAAAGAAATAAAGGAGAAATTAAGACATTCCCAGATCAGCAAAAGCTGAGGAAGTTTATCTCTAGTTTTCCTTACTTATATGTGAAGTAAGTAAGTAAAGTGAAAGGGGTCACTTTAGGCTAAAATAAAAGGACAGTAGGAAGTAATTTCAAGCGAGATGAAGAAATAAAGAAATTGGTAAATGTAACTACATAGCTGATTATAAAAGCCAGTATTATTGCTTTATTGTTTTTTTGTAACACAGTAGGAAGTAATTTCAAGCGAGATGAAGAAATAAAGAACATTGGTAAATGTAACTACATAGCTGATTATAAAAGCCAGTATTATTGCTTTATTGTTTTTTTGTAACCCCTGTTTTTTCCTCTCTGAATTAAATATAATTGCATATGTGAATATTCATCAGCTGATGAATGGATAAAGAAATGGTGGTATATCAATAAAATTGAATAATACATGGACATAAAAAGATGTTCTCATACCTACTATGACACAGATGGACCTTGAGGACATTATGATAATTTAAATGAGCCAGACATAGAAGGCTATATTGTATGATTCCATTTATATGAAATATCCAGAAGAGGGAAATACATAGAGACAGAAAGAAGATTAGTGATTCCATGGGCTGGGGTTAGAGGGAATGTGGGTATCTGATTATAATGGGTAGCGATTTCATTCTTGTGCAATGAAATTGTTCTGGAACTAGACCGTGGTGATGGTTGCACAACATTGTATATGCACCAAGTGTCATTGAATTGTACACTTTAAAATGGTAAAAATGGTAAATTTTGTTACATGTATTTTATATTTATTTTTTTTTTAAAAAAAGGCTTGGGAATATATCCTAAACACGTTAGTGTGATAAACTAAGGTTTGCTTTAGAATCTGCCCATCGGTCTTTCCTCATCAGGACTTATCTGCTCCCTAGAGCTCCCCTTGGTCTCCTGCCTGTAGAAAACTGTCTTTCAGAACATCCTCTAGGTCATCCAGGTTGAAACCCCAAAATGACTTCTTGCCTTGAATCCAAATACCCAGGTGCCAATCTGAAGCTAATTTTCGTGCAAGTGAGGAGATTATCCTACATGTAGGACTCACTGAGAATGACAGTGATTAGCTTTAATTCAAAGTATGTCATATTTGCATTTCTGAAGAGAAACTTGCTCACAAATGAACATGTAGTTTTGGTTTGTGTAGGTGGGGTCCGCAGGAGAGGAACTAGAGATGGCTCTAGGAATACCAGGCACCTGTACTTCACTGGTAGCTGAATGACTCACCCAGATGCCACCCACAACTGCAGAAAGATGGGAAGGGAACTCTTACCTCAGCCTATTCTTCAGCTGGGTTCCACTGATGTGGACACACTGTGAGTGGGACCGTCCAATCCTGGGATCTCAGCTGCTCTTTCTGCTGTTGTGGAGCCTCCATCCATGTGGCTCACACCCATGTTGGTTCCATAGGAGGCTGAAGTGTCCTTGAATTCTCAAAACCAACATTTTCTGTGAACCCAGTCAAGCAGTTGGTAATCTATACAATGATGGTATTCTTAGTGTTGTGTTGATTGCTCCTCTGCATTCTATGGTCAAAGGATAGGTCATTACTGTGGATAAAGAGTTTATCTCTTCTTTCTGAGGAGCCACCAGTAAGGATTTCTGCCCTGTGGAGTCCAATTGAGAGATTTTGTGTCAGGCTGAGGAAGGAAGGAGATCTTTTTATTGGTTACTTCTTTTTATTGTTACTTTACTTCACATGTTTTATTTTGAAATTTAAAACATGTTTTTCATGTTAAAATAATAAAAATCTTTTAATCATGGACTCATTTCTTCTGTGCATTTTAATCAATTTTAAAATGCACAGAAGAAATACAGACATATGGCCTCCTCTCTAAAGACATTGT